TTTGGCTGAACTCTTTCCCCAGCCTTGTCCTTGTACTGAGGTCTTGTTTCTGCCTTTGAAACGTTTTTCCCTGTGTCCTTGATGGGTGATAGAGTTTCTTTTTTTTTTCCTTTAATCACATTGACTTCTGCTGTCTTCCCAGATGATGTTTAAGTTTCCTGGACAGTAATCAATTTCTGTCAATTTCTCTGTCTCACTGCAGGCTGACTCCAAGTCTGCACATGTACTCAACCTTTACAGACATTTCAGATCCAATCAGATCACACCCATGGGGTCCCTAATACCTGGCCCCTTCTGCAGCCCACCTGGCATGCAACCTGGATACCTCCCTCTCTGCTTCCTGCCACACTAGAGATTCAGCCCATGTATCTGGGATGCCCACCCTGCAGCCTTAGTTATCACAGGAATGGGTGGGGTCTCTGTAGTTGGGATGGAAAGGTAGGTTTTATTTCTGATCCTGTAATTTTTCTATAAATTTCACATTCATGTCTGTAAACAGAGTCATTTAATGATTATAGATATGGGAGAAATAAGGGAGATATTCTTAATGTCTATCTCATTGGGTTCGAATCCTAACTGTCCTGCTTTCTAGCTGTGTAACTTCAGTTTGCTGAACTTTCCTCACCTGTAAGCTGGGATAATGAGAATCACTTATCATGCTGAATAAAGAGTAAATGAGCTATGACAAGGGATGTGTTCAGAGCAGTGCTTGGCATGTAGCAAACATCCACTGTAAGTGAGCTGCTAATAATAATTATTACTATGCTAATGTGCCTCAGCAAGTGGGGTAGGTTATGAGAGGTTTCACCACAAGCCTCAGAGACTCACGTGCACTTACCAGTTCCTCGCAAAAATCTGTTTTGGGCACATTTTCCAGTGTCATTTTGTCTCATGGATAAAAGCTTATCGGTAAATGTCATCTACATCACCAGCTTGCTGCCCCCAAGGCAGCAATATGAGTGATTTTGTCCCTCGAGGAACCAGGAAATGACCTTTCTCAGTAGTCAGACAAGTGCTGATGAAAATTACCAGCAATGCCAATCCTGAGTTGGATTTCCAGAGTCAGGCATGTGGTTTAATGCAAGGAGCAGTGACCCAGAAGATGAAGCTGGTACATACAACTTCTCCCTCTGCTGTGTGACTCTGGGCAAGTCACTTTCTTCCTCTGGGCCTTGGTTTCTTTACACTTGAAGTGGAACAATATTAACAACCTCTCTTTAGCTTCGATTTAAAGACAGAGTTTATGCTTACAACTTAAAATGGATGGATATTTAATATCTGCCTTTCCCTCCCAGTTGTAAGTTTCATAAAGAGTCATAATCTCTTGTGTTCCTCTTGGCATTTACGGCCCCTGTCACAGCACATAGATGGTGCTCATTTTAATACCTGTTGAATGAATGAATGATGTGGTAGAAAGAAAAAGATTTGGAAGCAAGCCAGATGCAATTTTGTGTTACGATTGGCTATTTATTAGCTGAAGGACCCTATGCATGTCTGAGTCTCAGGATTATTGTCTGTAAAATGGGGATAATAATAGAAACAACCTTACCAGGTTATTTCCAGGACTGAATATGAGAAAACACACACTCAAAAACAACCTTGGCCTAATGTCTAGCATATAATGGGAATTAGATAAACAATAGCTATTTTTTTACTTCTCTAGAGCCTAGCAGAGGAGAAAGAAGTATTTGGTATTCTGAGGCTTAAAAACTAAGGTAAAAAAGACAAATCTGAATATATATATATTAATAGACTTGGAGCAAGCTTACCTATCACCGGGCAGCCAGTGGCAAAGGGTTTTCCAAAACCCCCTTGGCCTGCTGGTGACCCCACCACCTTCTTCCCCACCTCCTTTAACTATGCTGCTTTTTTTATCACACCAGTATTTGCCTGTAGGCAATACCCCAACCCAGATCCTTGAGCAGATACAGAACAAAATGAGGTATAACGGGTTAAGAGATTGCCTAGAGTAGGAGGATGCCACGAGACCAAGGTCCCCGTCCTAACTCTGACCTGGTCCAAACTCAATGTGTGTGATCTTGAGCAAGTCACCTGTCCTCCAGAAACCTCCCTTTCCTCACCTGTAAAGGGGTCATCCCATTGACAGTAGTTAGGAACTTGGGGTTTGGGGTTTAGAACCGGCTTCATATCTCAGCTCTGCAGCTTACTGTCTGTGAGATACTCGCAAATCAAGTACCATCCCCATAAAATGGACAGTGGGACTCAACTGGGCTTATTTGGAGGATTTAATGACACGCTGTCTCGCAAGTGCCTGGCAGATTTGTGCGTGATGAGCTAAGATTTGTTTGTCCGGGCACCCCAGCCCTTTTTTACACTTTGTTCAAGTTCCTCCCCGCTGAAGAAGCCCAGGTTCCCTGAGTCAAATGCACATCCATCAGCCTTCCTGCCGGCTCAGCTCTTGGCAAGCCACAACCTTCTGCAGCAAAGACACAATCCCCACTGGGTATGAGGGGCACCGGCTGGTGTGCAATTATTTTAATGCATGGCTCAGGACCTTCTCACGTGGGGCCTTCTCTCGCCCTGGTTGGGTGTCTTCTCAGGGGAGAGTCCTCCCTCCCTCGTCCTCCTAAAGCCCAGGAGGCGAATCATATACTGCACAGTCATCCTTTCCTGAAATGCAAGCGCCCTGGCTGGCCCTCTCCGGGCTGTCCTGAAGGCTACCTGCCTGCTCCCTTACTGACTGCTCCAGTGGGCTTCATGCTGGCCAGAGGGGAAGCCCCATCTCTGAGGGAGAAGAGAACCCACACGGAGCCCCCCTAGCACACAGGCACTGTACTGGGCATTAGTGTAACCCTCTTAATTTCTTTGAAAAGGCAGGGTTACCAATCCCCAGCTTGTACGTGAGGAAACCGGCCCCAAGAAATTGAAACGAGTTGTCCAAGGACACAGTGAAGTGAAGTGCTGGGATTCAAACCTAGGCTGATCTGACATTCCTGGTTCTTACACTGCTGTGTATATGGTATAACGCTGCTGCTTGTGGGAGGCATGGGGCATGATTTGGACCAAATAGGTTTCCTGACACTCACTGTACCATAAGAGGGACTTGGTCTGCAGAGCAGTATTTACCCAGCCAAACTGAAGGGCTGTCGCCGCCATACATCCATGGGACACTGAGAGAGAGAGGGCGGAGGGTGATGGACCTTCCAGACGTCTCTCTAGATGGCAGGCCCCGCTCAGGCAGTCACAGACAGCGCGGCCCAAGGAGGGAGCCAGGGAGCGACGGAGCTCGAGATGCCCCGTCCGACCTGGGTCTCAGATCAGCTGAGCTGCTCCTCCCACAGGGGGAGGAACATGGTGGGGGCCAGTGGGGACAGGTGAGAGCTAGTTTGTTTTCTCTGGAATGTGACAAACCCTGAAAAGGGAGGTTTTTAAAACCTGGCTTCTCCTCCACAGTGTATAGGAAAGGACAGGGGCTCCAATTTGGAATCAGATTGATTCAAACTTATCCCAGTGCCAGCATTTACCAACTTTGTGGCCTGGGGCAAGTGGCCAGTTTCTTCATCTTCCAATTGCCATCTGCATCCAGGTCAGTGTGAAGATTAAAAGAAGACGAGGACTGTAAAGCCGATGGCACAGCGCTCGGCTCACCCACAGGCCTGCCCCCCAGCCAAGGGGGTACAGTGCCTGCGGAAAGTCACTTCTCAGAATTGACGCAGAACCAGTGCCCCAGCTCCACATGGCCCCTCCCCACCACTCACCTCCTCTCCATGACAATTAGAGTAATCTTCCCAAAAGCGAGAGCCAGTTATGCCCCCCTCACCGCCCATACAACAGTCCAGTGATGCCGTCTGAGTCCTGAGCATGGTCGCCCCAGAGCCAGAATCTACCCCACTTACCTCTGCAGCCATATCTCCCAACCCACCCACCCCAGCCCTGTGCTCTAGCCACAACACATGACTTCTCATTTTCCAAATGAGCCTGGCTTGTGTTACCACCTTGTGCTGTCTCCCCGGGAAATCCTTGCTCTTCCTTCAAGGTCCAGCACAGCATCTCCTTCTGTGATGCTTCTCTGAGCATTCTGGAGCCACCATTTCTCCCTGATCCTCCCTCCGTGACTATATTCTAGGACCCATGCCAGGACCCGTGTCCCCAGCAGCCCATGAGCAGACCAAGGGTGGAGCCCAGCCCAGCACACCGTAGGCTCTTAGCAGAGCCGGCCTTTCCTGAACACTCACCCTCTGCCAGACACTACTTACAAGCCTTCCATCTATTAATGAGTTGATTTTTCACAGCAACTCTATGAGACAGCGCATCCATCAGTCCTGGCTGGAGGCAGAAACCATACCAATTATTTGAACAGAGAATTTAATCTTTAAAAATGGCAACTAGAAATAAACTGTTGACGTGGTAACTAAAAAAAAAAACCAAAAACATAAATAGAGAATTATAGGCAACAGCACCCCTGGAGCTGAAGGAACAGAGGGAGGGATGGGAATTTTAAAACTCGTGCTGGAGCCTGGACCTGGGGTGGGGGCAGCAGGCAGCTCGGGAGGCAGCAGTGCTGGGCAGAGATGGGGACAAGCAGCTGGTGCTGCATTTTGAGGAAACTGCTGCTAATGGAAGGAAGGGCCACTGGCTGTGTGATGACCGGAACAAACGGGGAACAAGTTCCTCACCCCCCTCAGATTTCATGTCCCCCTCGTGTGGGCAGTGATGAAGTTTGCAGAGTCCCAAAGCAAGTTTGGAGCTGAGGAGTGACAGCTTACACATTGGTACAGGCAGGAGCTGTTACTGTCCCCATTTCACTTATGGGGAAACTGAGGCACAGAGATTAAGTAACGTGCCCAAGATTACATGAATCCCTAGAGCAGAGACAGAGTTTGAAGCCCCTAGTGTGGCCCCAGCACGTTTGCTGTCAGCCACTCTACCATAGACGTGAGTGAGCAAGCGAGCCAAGTGACACTTAGCCCTGGCCCAGCCAAGGCTTCCTGCAGTCGCAGGGTCCTGCCTGCCTGACCGTCCCCCTGTCATCCTGCCAGGTCATTCACTGGAACTCCCCCAAGAAGCTGCGGGTGAAGAACAAGCACGTGGAGTTTTTCCGCAACCTCTACCTGACCTTCCTGGAGTACGACGGGAATCTCCTGAGGCGGGAGCTCTTCGGCTGCCCCAGCGAGGCTGATGTCAACAGTGAGAACGTAAGTGGCTCCCAGGGCTCGACAGGGCCGGCCTCTGAGCCATCTGCCCAGGACCTCCGGGGTGCCAGGCTCAGGGTGTGCAAACATGAACGAGACACCATCCCTCCCCGGGAGCCCACCGTCTGCAGGGGGACGGGCGCATCCATGCTCGCCAAGTTTCCACGCAGAGAAACAGAAATGGGCAAAGGCACCACTGAAACCACAGATAAAGTGTCTCTCCACAGCCAGGACGCTCTGAGGTCCTTGTGGCCATGGCACCCACATGGGAGGCCCAGGGTCCAGGGTGGTCAGTGCCTGGGGTAGCCTCAGAGATTTTCACAGTAACCGGCTCCCTCTGGGGTTAGCATGGGTGGAAAAAGCACTGGGTTAGTAGTGACAGGCATAGCTAACATTACTATATTTTCCTGTTCCTCAGCTGTTTATAATATTTTCATGTTATAACTCATTTGACACTTCTATGTTACCTCTCATTGACTCTCTGTTTTCCCCAATTAGAGTTGCACACAGAGATTAAGCAGATTGCCTGTGTAACACAGCAAGCAAGGAGCAAAGATGAGACTGATTTGAAGCTTAGAGGGAGAGGATGTGGGATGTAGCACCCTGTAGCAGAAAAAACAGGGCATGTTGGGTCAGGCTGACCTAGGTTTGGCTTTAATACCTTCCAGCTAACCACCTGGGTGACCTCAGGCAAGTTACTCAACCTCCCTGTGCTTCAGATCCTCAGCTGTCAAAAGGAAATGAAAACCTGTATAGGAACGTTTTGAGTCTGAAAAATTGCATGTAAAGCACCTGAGCTCAGCATCAGACGTATGCTTGATGCTCAAAAAATAGTTGTTCCCTGCCCTTCCCTTGACCCTTAATATTACACACAGAAGTCAATTGGTTCACTCAGTCAATCATCAAAGATTTACTGAAGGACTTCTAGTTCTGAGCACTGAGTATTCCTAGGTGACAATGGACAACGGTCCCTGCTCTCATGGTGCTGATACTCTAGTGAGGGGACACAGTACACAAACCATCGGGAAAAACGATGAGCCAGGGCCAAGTGCTACATAATGACATTATCAAGCAGCTGGGCAGTTCCATTGGCTTGGACAATCAGGGAGGACTTCTCTGAGGAGGTGATGTTTATTCTGAGACCTGAATGACAAGTAAGAGCCAGTCTTAGAAGAGCAAGGAGTCAGCACAAACCAAGAAAATGTCTCCTCACACCTGTTAGGATGGCTGTTATAAGAAATACAAAAGATAGCAAGTGTTGGCAGAGATGTGCAGAAACTGGAACCTTGTGCATTGCTGGCAGACTGCAAAATGGTGCAGCTACTGTGGGAACCAGGATGGAGGTTCCTCAATAAATGAAAAATAGAAAAACTGTCATGTAATCCAACCATCTCACCTCTGATACATATGCAAAAGAATCGAAATCAGGATCTCAAAGCAGTATCTGCACCCCCACCTTCACTGTGACATTATTCTTAACAGCCAAGATATGGCAACAGCCTAAGTATCCACTGACAGATGAATGGATAAAATGCAGTGTGTGTGTGTGTGTGTGTGTGTGTGTGTGTGTGTGTGTGTGTGTGTGTGTGATGGAATACTGTTCAGCCTTAAAAAACATATAAGGAAATCTTACCATTTGTGACAACAGGGATAGACTGAGGAGACATCATGCCAAGTGCCATTAGCCACAGAAGGACAAGTACTACATGATTCCTCATCTGCGTGGCATCCAAAAGAGTTAGACATTCAGAAGTGGACCACAGAGTGGTGGTTACCAGGGGAATGGGGAGTTGTTCGGGGGAGGAAAAGTTAGTTTACAAGATGAGTAAGTTCCAGAACTCTGCTCTGCAACATAGTGCTTACAGTTAACAGGATATTGTGCACTTAGAAGTGTCTAAGAGGGTAGATCTCATGTAAGGTGTTCTTAGAACACACACACACAAAAACCATGAGAAGCTGTTGGAGGTAATATGTTTATTACCTTGATTGTTTTGATAGTAATACAAGTATATACACAGGGGCAAACTCACCAAACTGTTTTTATTATGTGTAACATTTTATATACCAATGATACCTCAAAATACTAAGCCAGAAAAAAAAAGAGCAAAGAAAGTACATTCCAGGTAGAGGCAGTTGCTCATGCAAAGGCCCTGAGGCACAGCAGGTTTGACCTGAGGAACTGAAGGTTGACCAGTGTGCCCAGGGTTAGAGCAGAAGGAGGAGAGAACAGGAGAAGCTGAGCAGCAGGTGGGCAGGAGGCAGACTGGGAGAATATTAAAAGTGGAATTTTGCTATAGCTGGAATTTTGTTTTATTGCTATTTGTTTATGACTATAATTGTTACTGCTCATATTCTTATCTTGGATGTCATGAGAATTCTTTTAGGCTCCAAAGGCAGGGAGGGCATCTGTGGGAGGTCTGCAGGCATGCGCTCCCCTGGCCCTTTGTCAGGGCGACTGGTCATAAGGCCACCCCTGCTCTGGTATTTGCCCCCAGGCCACACTGGACTTACCTCCAGCCTCTGTCCTTCCCCACATCACCCTCCGTGCCCTCCTCAGTGTCTGCCCTTCCTACCACTGGCAACTGGGGAAAGAAAACCATTAAGCACTTGGACTCCATCTCAGAGTCTGCGAAGCACTGAGAGGTTTTGACAAGCACTGCGTTCTGATTTTTCCTTCCGATCTCTTTACTCAAGTCAGTATTCGTCAGCAGCATCCAAGTTGGAGTGCCCGTTTGACCCTTTTTTGTAAATACTAAAGGAAAACCGTTCTCTTGCCTCTTTTTGTTCCCTGCATGGAAGAGGCTCAAATGAAAAGCCTTGCAGGACGAAGCCATTGGCTAATCACCCACATGGTGAGTTCCAGGGTACACTGCTCAGTCTTACAAAGTGGGGCTCCCTTTCTATGACTCACCGGCTTTTCCTCCCATCAGCTTCCCCTGGTGGGTCATCAGGGTGGAAAACTCATCAGTGAGCCTTCTTGGAATCTGTGACTGCATTTGTTTGCTCAGAAAGCATGCATGAACACCGGCCATCCGGCAGGCGCTGCGCAGGGCTCGGGGGTTGAAATCCGAGTCTGACCCAGTCTCTGCGTCAGCTGTTTGCTGCACAACAGGTGTTGAGCCTCTGTGTAAGGTGTTTGCTGCACAACCATGGGGAGCCTTCTGTGGGCACCCATCACAGCTGTCACCCCAGTGCTCCCCCTGACACTGCTCAGCCGCACCCACCGCCTTTCTGTTCCTTCTACTCTCCAGGCTCACCCCCACAGGGGGCCTTTGGGCTGGCTCTCCCTCTGCCCGGAGCACCCTACCCCTCTGGGGTTAAAGGTCTCAGATGTGGCATCTTCAGAATTTTCCCTGACCTGCCCCTCACCTCGAGTAACCCTTTAAGTCCCTCTCTGTGATGTGCCCCATTTTCTTGCCATCAGAGCATTTGCTGCTCTCCACAGTTACTTGGTTCACGCAATCTTTTTCTAGTTTTTTCCCAAATATATGACCAGATCATAAGATGGTTAGATTAGAGGCTGTGTCTGTACTGTTCACCCCTGGTGAATAGTAAATTGTAACTCAGTTTACAATTTTCCCTAGCATAGAAGAAAGCACCTAATAAATATTTATTGAAAGAATTGGACAAATAAGAGAGAAGAATGCAGGACCAGGTAAAGGGCAGAGCAGATAAAGGTGCAGACAGTTCATAGAGAACATGCTGGCAGTTCATGTGTGGGAGCAGAGGCGCGCTCGGAGAGGGCAGAGAATGAAGCTGGCCGGAAGGCCTTAGGGGTTTAGACCTCATCCTGACGGCAGTGCGGAGCTGCCAGAGGGCTCTCATCACATCAGATTTACACTGGAGAAGAAGCACTCTGTGCAGAGTACAGTGAAAGGGCCAGGTTTGGAGGCAGGGGGACCACTTAGAGACCGTTGCCCATCCTAGATGAACAGACTGCCCAGGGGCTTGACCTAGGGCAGCAGCAGTGTGGGTGGAGAGAACAGGTGGTTGGCTTTTGTGGGCACGAAGAACAGGGCAGCAGGTGCAACCTGCACTCATAAACCAGGAAAGCAGGTCCCTGTGCCCTGCTCCCACCGGGGTCTCTGGCTGAGCCAGCCCGCAGGGGCAGTGGCTAGGGCAGGGGGAGAGCCTGTCACATCAGCACCCCTGGAGCCACGTCCCTGCAGGGAGTTCCACCGGCTGGTCTTTGCAAGCATGTCAGTATATCTGCAGACACAGCCAGAGGGAAAGGGTGAGATCTTGGATCTGGTCCCAAGCCGGGTGCTCCCAGCCCTGTGATAAGAAGTCATTACAGCTGTGACAAATGTGCAGATTGTGGTGTCTTCAAGAAATGGAGTCAGGAACCTGTTCACTGGGCTGTGGATACCAGGCGGGAAAGGGCTCCAAGGGCAGTGTCTAAGTCTCAGGACTCATTCATTCCCTCTGCAGATAGTCATCAAACAGTTGCCAGCCACGGGGCTACTGACCCAGGGGGAACATTGCAAATGAAAGCCCAGCTCTCATAGTGCTTGTCTGGTAAGGGACACAGATAAGCAGGGGGTGGTTATCCAGTGTGGGATGGCCGTGTGCTTTGATAGCACTCAAGGAGGGCATGTTAAACACTAAGGTAGAGAAGATGAATCAGGGAAGCCTTCCTGGAGGAGGTGAGATTTGAAGGATGAATAAGGAGGAGTGAGGGGTATGGAGAGTGGACTCAGTGAGAGGGAAGGAGTAGCACATGCAGTGGAGACCAGAGGCAGACGGGAGCATGGCACCTTCAGATTCGAATGGCCGCAGTGTGAGGACAGAAGGGCTGCCCAGGTTCACTTCTGCACCATCATTGTTATTTCATCGTAGGGGTAGGGAGGGGTCATCCCAGGTCACTCACTTAATAGACACGTAACCCCAGGGAAGGTCATGTGAGCACACTAGGCCTGGGATTCCACATCCTGTAAATGGAGGCAGTGGTGCCGCTCTCAGGGCTTCATGGGTGATTTATGTCAGGTCACCAATTACAGGAC